AGAGAGAGAGAGAGAGAGAGAGAGAGAGAGAGAGAGAGAGAGAGAGAGAGAGAGAAATAGTGATCGAAGAAAAGGTGTAAAGGAATGGGGATGGAGATGAAAAGAAGAAAATCAGAGTAAAAGAGAAAAATGGAAACTTAAAAAAACAAAAAAACAAACTCATTGATTTTGACTAAATAACAATTGTCTGAAACTTACAGGAGTTCCATTTCAACGGTATTCCTTGTTCTCTCAATTTCTCTCTGGGGTCACAGTTTTCTCGGGGGTCATTTTTGACACAGCCTCCCTGTAATGGCTCTCCTCTCTGCGCACATCAATAACAGATGAGGCCCCTAATCGCGCGACACCAAAATAATTTCACCCCAACCCGCAGCTGCATTTACATAATAGTATTTCCTCAGACGCTCTTTCTCTCTTCCATTCCCTCTATCTCCCTTCCTCTATTTTTCCCTCAGCTTGTACGTATTGTCTCTTAGAAGAGCCTGTGAACTGCACTATGTGTGTGTGGGACTGAGAAAGAGTGAGGGAGGTATTTAGCAGTGCATGCAGTATTAAATGAGCCTGACTGGCAGGGAGACATTTATTGGTGCTGCGGCTCTCAGCATGTGTAACACACACACTCACCATTCTAAATGCTTTATTTGAGACCACATTGTTTCTGTGCTTTTTTGCTGAAATCTTATATATAGGGGCATAGTTTTATAGTTTATAAAGATTCTATCATTATAACCTCTTTCCAAAGCTGTATGACTTGCGGAACACAAAAGAAAATTTAGAAGAATGTTTCTGCTGTTTTTATCCATAAAATCAAAGTGGAGTCCAAAAAAAAAAAAGACACTGACTTTTCACTGACGCATACACACACAAATCTTCTTTTATGTTTCACATAAGAAGTAGTCATTCTTTGGAAAGACATGAGCAAATGAAAATGCTGTCATCATTTCCTCACCCTCAAGTTGTTTCAAACCTGTATGACATGGAAGTCAATGGCAACCAGTAGCTGGTTGGTTACCAACGATGTTCACAGAATTTTTGGGTGAACTGTCCCTTTAAGTTGTGTTGATAGCACTGTTACAAGAAATATATTATACAAGTGTTAAAAGTGTGTCATTTTATGTAACAAATTTGATATAAACATACATCTTTTTTAATTACAGTAAAAAGAGTACAGGAAATTAGGGAGAACAGGACAGTGCAAGTAAGACATGAATAAATGATGACAGAATTGTATATTTTGGGTGAACTGTCCCTTTAAGCAATTTGTCACCAGCACTCTTATATGAATGTAAATTAAACAAACTGTTACCAAGTCTGTCATTTTAAGTAACAATTTTGGGAAACACTTTAGAGTAGGGAACACATTCACTATTAACTAAGAGTTTTCCTTGAACAAACTTAATTTGCTGCTTATTAATAGTTAGTAAGGTAGTTGTTAAGTTTAGGTATGGGGTGGATTAAGGGATCTAAAATACGGTCATGCACAATAAGGCATTAATATGTGCTTTATAAGTACTAATAAACAGCCAAGTAATATGCTAGTAATATGCATGCTAATAAGCAACTAATTAATAGCTAGAATTGGTCCTTAAAATAAAGTTTTACCCAATTTTGGTATAAACTTACTGCAATTTTCTTTTTTTTTCTTCATTACAGTAGAAAGAGGA